GACGACTCACACACTCTCGTCCCTCCTCCTTCTCTCGTCTCTACCAACCGACNCTCTCTCTCCTCCTCTACGAGTATTAGTCGTCGCTACTCCTCCTCTCTCTCTCTCTCTCTCTCTCTCTCTCTCTCTCTTCTACTGTCTCCATGAATCCAGTGCTCGATCTCTCTATATGTGCATGTTTGATAATAGGAAGTGCCTTCTAGAAGTTGAGAACTTCTCAACTTTCATGTTTGATAAAAAATAAGAACTCCAAATAAAAACTTTATTTTACTATTCATCTTCCTATACTCTTTTGTTAAAAAAGTTCCTACCCAAAGGTCGGAACCTAAAATAGGAAGTGCGTAACTTCCTCCCCTTTGATAACCCTAGCCTCTTTTCCCATCTTCGCCGCTGAGAAACCCAAAACAAAGACGCAGCACCCCTAAGCCAGTGAGCAACCCTTCGTCGAGCACCCCTCTCTTCCCAGCTTGCCCCTCGTAGCAGCATGCCCCTCTGTTCTTCGAAGAAAATGTCTCCTTATCTTCTTCATCTCTCATATCCGGCATAACCAAATCGAGGTACGGGGTCACTGATCTCATCTTCGTCTTCAAATTCTCACTTTGCCTAATTTTCATGTGATTTAGCTCTCTATTTATTTTTTGTGAAGAAGAATTGTGCGAAAATTGGTAAAATAATGATGTTCTCTACAGTTTTGGGCTTTTTTTTAGGTTTTTATTTTTTAAAAAATTGGTAAAATCGGTAAAAAAAAGTTTTTTTTTATTTGAGCTCTGATGTTTGAGCTTTTTCTTAGTTTGTTTTAGCGTTTTTTGAGCTTTTTCAGAGTGAAATTTGGTTAAAAAAAAGAGTTTAGGGCTTTTTCTGAGCTTTTTACGAGGTTTTTCTGATCTTTGAGCTCTGATATTTGAGCTTTGATTAGAGTACGAATACATTATAAATTTTATTGAGCTCTGATCTTTAAGCTATGATCTTTGAGCTCTGATCAGAGTACGAATACATTACAGTTTGGGGCTTTTTTTGAGGTTTTTATTTTTTAAAATTGGTAAAAAAAAAATATAGATATTTTTTATTTGAAGTCTGATATTTGAGCTTTTTCTAAGATTTTTTTTAGCTTTTTCTGAGCTTTTTCTGTGCGAAAATTGGTTAAAAAAAAAAAACGTTTAGGGCTTTTTCTGAGCTTTTTATGAGGAATTTCTGATATTGAAGCTCTGATTAGAGTACGAATACATTATAAATTTCATTGAGCTCTGATATTTGAGCTTTGATCAGAGTACGAATACATTACAGTTTAGGGCTTTTTCTGAGGTTTTTTATTTTTTTAAATTGTTAAAATCGGTAAAAAGTTTTTTTTTATTTGAGCTCTGATATTTGAGCTTTTTCTTAGCCTTTTCTGAGCGAAATTGGTAAAAAAAAAACAGTTTAGGGCTTTCTCTGAGCTTTTTCTGATCTTTGAGCTCTGATCAGAGTACAAATACATTATAAATTTC